CTCTCCACTAAACAAGTTTTGCAAAGATTATGCCATCATTATAGCAAACATAAGTGAGAGTAGGAGAGGGAAGATCAAGAGCTATAGCAATTGAGAGTCAAGGTCTCAACACAAGTTCAAGTAGAGACATACTCAATGGCATAAGGTACGCTTAAATGTTCCTAGTCTCATGATTATGGTTAAAGATCCTTCTTTCATGTCTTCTTACACATCGGACCCCGCTAAAATGAGAGCGGAGGGTTCATTCGACTCTGAGGAGGTGTCGGCCGAAGAAAAGTTTTTTGAGCTAAAGCAATAAGAGAAAGTTGGGGCCATTAATCTGGGGATGGTGAGAAGAAGTCTACTGCAAAGAGTTCTTGAGAGTGAAGACACCATTGATGTAGAGGAAGAGAAATAATCTGATAAAATTTGAGGGAAATTGAAATGAAATGTTGCTTTTGAATTCAAGAAGTTGATAGATCTGCGGTGAGATTTTGAGGTGGTATAATTGCTTGGTGAAGCCTAAAATAATATGCCATCAATAAAGAAACAAAAAGGATATGAATTTTCACCATTTTGAGTAGGATATGAACACTAAATCTCTTAATGGTAGAAGTTTAGTCCCGTGTGACAGTTGGAAACGGGGCAGGACCGGTCCTGAGCTGTTAATGGCCATGATTTGGTCTCAACAAATTGTGAGATCCAGATCACAAGTTGTGCATCGATTTTCACACCATGTGTGGGACCCACGAAATTTTGTACTAAAGTTACACGTTGTGCAAACAAAGTTACTCCATGTGCAACCAAAGTTACGCACTGTTGAAAATAGCCAAAACCGTTGGGGACGGTTGCACTTGCAACCATCCGTGCCCCTTGTCCGTGACAGTTTTGCCCCTGCCCAGCCACGCAGAATACATAAATGTGGTGCCATAGCTGCAAAATTCCCACATTGAAGTGAAAAATTAGTTTGAAGACTAAATTGGTTAAAATAAACCATGAAGAATGAAATTGATTTTAGTGAAAAAGTTTGAGGACCAAAATGGTGAAATTTCCTTTTATTTTTTAACACCACAATCTTTTTTTTTTTTTTAGTAAGTGAGAGATATTGGATTCAAAACTTTCTATTTATACTCCTATTTTACCTTCCAACTCAACTTTTTCTCTCCCCCATCCCCCACCACAATCCTACTTATTTACATCCTATCTAAATTTATTTATACCATACTTACAGTTATTTAAACCTCAAGAGCTAGCAAGTTGGTTTGGACTAGAACCTGTCCAAATATTAATCTTTACTTACAAGTTTTTTTTTTACAAAAATATTAGAGTTAAACTTTACTCACAAGTTTTCTTTCAAAAACATTAGAGTGCCTCCTTCAGCATGCATCTCTGTTAGTCTTGCTTCCCTCAATTCCAACCTCTGGGTCCGCCAATGGCAACGTAGAACTAAAGAAAATTCCTTCAAAAATCTATAGGAGATTTCATAAAATCAATGTATATAAGAAGCAATTGACACACATAAGAGTACGTATAGGAGAAGAGGATTAATACTAATAATAATATATTAATTGCACACTATAATAACAAGTCTATCGAATTTCACTTTTTTCAATTGACGACAATAATAAGATTCCCTATTTTTAAACTAGATGATTTGGTAAATAAGTTTTGACAACCATAATAAATTACCTAATAAAATACCAAATCCTATATATTAAAACTACTATAATTTGACTCTAATAAACTACTAAGAACTTGCCTTGACTAAAATACTTCTACTAAGCTAGAAACTTCTATTTTTTCGGTTTGATTTAATATGTCCAACAGGCTATTCATATATAGTACTTTGATTGAACTTATGGCTACCATTGTTTCTTGTTTAGACTTAAAACCGAAACTTTTCATGTGTTTTAGGTTATTGAACGTTTGATTTTCAAATCCTTCTTTGATATTTCTTATGTTCACAACTAGCCCTTAATAAGAAACTTCAACGTATTTCGTTAATGATTTTCTAAGAAATGAAAATAAAAGGAAAAAAGATAGAGAGAGAGCTAAATAAAAGACAAAAAAAAAAAAAAGGTATAGAGAGCAAATAAGTTGGGTCCTATTCTCATATTTAACTGGGCATCATTGACCTTAAATCCCATAATTTTCAAATCCATTCCGATCCTCCCAAATTTCCATGGATATCCTATTGAGACTTGGAATTATTTTCCACGGGTAGTTTGATTGGAAAAGAGTAAAAATAGCAGTATCCGACAAATACGAATTAAGCCCTCAATGGACTAAAGTCACTATGCTGTTGAGAGTCATTTTCTGCAATTTATGAGAATGGTTTGACACCCAAAACTGTGACTTGCAGCTAGGCTCGAAACCGCAAACTCATTCCTAACGATACTGACAGCTTTGACCACTGATTTGCATAGTTTATGCCGACGCGAGGCATGGAGACAAAATAAGTAGTTCCGAGTAGGCCAAGCAGGTCTATCATTAAATGCTGCTGGCATGCTAGCTGTGTGGGTAAAATGACTCAATCGTGTCCTGAGGTATTGTATGGTGGAAAGCCCATCTTAGCGTTATGGCAGTGCATCAAAGAGCAAATACATGCTTCAAAAGATGCTCATTCTCTGGCAAACGTCTCTCTTCTGATCTAAACATAGTGATTTACTCGTTGTTGATCCAAGTGACAATGAACTCGATATCTTTTAAGGTCTTGTTTTTTGATTGCTTTAGATTTTACAAAATTTGATTGTAGAAATTGATTATAAAGAATAATTAGAATCAGCAAAAATTATGTTTGGATATTATAGATTTTAGTTACTAAATCTATAATTAATATACAAAAGCAGTCGAAAACGTCACAAAAACTAATTTTTCAACATTAGAATCTATAATCAATTGCAATAATCAATCGAGAACAAACTCTAAATAAGGTCTCGGTTCGACTTTTATGAATGAAAAAAATAACACTAGAAGAGTCACTCTCTAAAGGGATTCGATAATATTTGATTTCAGATTAGTTAGGACCCGACACGATTATCAGATATTGGAGTATTACACACAAAAAAAAAAGGCATAATGGATTGAGAATGTGATAAATCATTACAAACTGATGCTCATCCTTTTTTTTTTTTTTTTAAAAAAAAGGAGGTGCGAAATTTAAAAAACAAAAAAGGAGAACTCAAGATATCTAATTCTTGAAATGTCAATCTTAGTTAATGGACCATGACCTTCTCGACAAATGGATGTTTGCTCGTTAGAGTATTCATCATTGTGAAGCCTTTGTGAATGCATTGATGAATGATGGCTAATAAGACAAGCAGCATTTTACGCCCCGAAGCAGTAAGTCTTGACTTCTTGCAATGCCCAGATAGCGATAGCATTATGAATGATAGTATTGTATCTTGTGAGACAACAAAAGGCTTCATATGCTGTTATGTCAAGAAAATTGGCTTAGGATGTTCACATTGTAAGTTGTCAATTTTATATTTCTTTTTTATTCTATTTTATCAATAAAATAAAAAAATCATTATGAAGTAGAATGTACATATGTTTCCTGGCAAAAGCTCTGTCAAATTCAACAATTTCCAAAAGAAATTGAGGAGTACTTTTATTAAGTGTTGGAATGTGTAACTTTCACACACACAGGCATATATGTTTCTGATGCGCACTGGTTATGTGGCACTGTATATAACTTTTATCCCAAATGCCAAATTTGATAATTTTGACACCAAATAATGACTTGAGTTCCTACACCTTCTTCCTGAAAAATATTGCTTAATTTTACCCCATATTTGAGTACACCGTATTTGACGGTTACGTATGACCAGTTTGCCTTGCAATTGAACCATATATGTTGAACACTTGAACTAGGAAAAAGTGTTAATGCGAGACAAGGGAAAGAACTTAGAGTGCAAATGACGCAATAGAACCTAACTCAGAAGTCATATTTAGGGAAAATTCTATGATCTCTTTGGGGAATTATTCGCTCAATTTGAATATCTCAAGAATGAAATTTGTCTATGTTTTGAATTATTTAAGTTGTTACAATCTAAAAATCAAAATTACTTATTTCATTATCCAATGATATATTTAGCTTGAGGTCATTATGAAAGCTAAACGGAACTCTAAAATCTCCCCCTATTTAGAAGTGCTTAATGTATGGGCAAAACTTAAAGAATAAAAAGCATAAACAATCGTGTACAGAACCAAATCCTTTTGGTAGTAGAAAACTTCCATACAATCTTGATTACATTTGAATGAATGGAGTGTTGCAATTAAAATTAGGGCACAACATATCTTATATTTACAACTTTGCAGTCTTATATCTTATATCTTATATTCAATGGTGAAACAATAAGTATATAAGTGCAATGAGAAGATCCAGAATGATAATTGCAAGAAACTAGAACCATATCTAGAAAAAGAATCGGAACTAAAATCAAACCAAAACTAGAGTTTCCAGTGCAGTAATCATAACCATGTAATAATAACTTGACGAATTGTCACTTATCTATCTGTTGGATCAAAAGGACTTGACCCTATTTTATATTTACAACTTTTAGGTTTTTAACATACATAATAAAAGATAGTAGTATTGTATCTTGTGATGTAAATAAAAAGTTACATAATTCTAATTATGCTTCTCTTGGAACTATTGCAAAGTTTGACGTGTTTGTTTCTTTTCTTCTTATAAAATATTTGACACGTCAATCAAATTGGAAAACATATAATCCATCGACGTCGGTGCAGAGTCCAAATTATCAACCATGCTGGGACATACTGTTGAATATGGGAGACATGAACCTTATCTTCTCCATGGTGCTCGAAGTCTATATGCCTCAAAGACCTTTGTAGAAATTAGAACAAATGCTTCTCCGTACATCTTTGTATTTGTTTACGGTTATATGGACTTTCGACCTAGCACGACAACTGCCTCTTCAACACCTACTACATTGGTGGGCCGACTCCGGGACCCTTTCGATGGGAATGTGGCATAGGTTTTCCTATAAATAGAGATCAATCTGCACCAGCTTCCTCATCCTTCTCAAAATCAGTCTTCAATACATAAATTTTCCTTGAGCAAAAATGGGTTCCAAGACACTTCTTTTCTTTTTCATTTCCATGGCTGTAGTTCTAATGATTACCTCAGAGGTGGCTGCCAAGTCAGTTGACAATTGTAAGACATTTATTCTTCAATTCACATTTCGTCATTTTTCTCTTTCTAATTTATATGCGCCATATTTTAATTCAGTATTTAGGACCACGGCGTTTTACGTTTCAGATAGATTTTTGTTGTCCTTAAAAAAAAAAAAAAGGATTTTTGTTGTACATGTGAAGTGTCGGAGTACTAAGAAGCATGGCTGAGCTGTGGTTAAAAAGATTGAATACACCTCTACTTTCAGTTACTGGATTCTAAGTGTCAATCCTTTCCAAACGTGGGAGTTGGAGTATAGTCGTTTGTGACTGGATTACTTTTCCTGTATTTTTAGAGTAAAACTATATTTTAAGATTTAAGATTCAAGAATAAAATATGGATTTAAGATTCTCATTTTGAACATACTGTTAATAAATCTTTATATTTATTAACATTCAGAAACTATGATAAAGATATCTGTAAAGTAATTAGCCATTTTAAAGATATCTGTAAAGTAATAATTTGACACACACGTTAAAAGGCAAATTTTCAAAAGGATTACGATGTGTTTTGCTAAAAGCATGTACACAACTTGGTCCAAACTTTACATTTTCAAAATTGCGATTACAGTAACTAACGCACATACCCTATTTATCTTTATTGCAGCCAAGACAGTTGAAACAAATGAGGAAGGAGAAGCCAAGTACCATGGAGGTGGCTACGGAGGAGGCCACGGAGGAGGCTACGGAGGAGGCCATGGAGGTGGCTACGGAGGAGGACATGGAGGGTACGGGGGTGGCGGCCATGGTGGTTATGGACATGGCGGTGGCGGCCATGGTGGTTATGGACATGGTGGTTATGGACACGGCGGACATGGCGGTGGCGGCCATGGTGGACATCCTGGTGAGGCTGCAGATGCTCAGCCTCAGAACTAATCAAGCCAGCTTCTAGCTATGTCATGATTAATCATGAATGCTTAAACAGGCTTACTATAATAGTATGTACTTTGTAATGTGATCTCAAATAAGTGCTGGATCAGTGATCATGTAATATGCACTCCATGTACTTGCTGGCTATCTAGTTCAATACAAGTATATGAGTTTGTGATTTTGTGTCTCTTTTTTGAGCACTTTTGAGGTGATGGCAAAATCTTTTCATGCAATACGAAGTCAATTTTGCAAGTTTCCACAAAAAAAAAGAGTAATTTTAGTATCTCAAATTGACAACAAAGTCAACGCTAGTTTTTGGTTGGTTTTATCTGTAAATCAGTAAATTATTATCAAATTGCTCCTTTTTTTTTCTTTATTTTCAAAAAGACCCTCACTTAGGTATGTATCCGTCCAATATTTAGTCTAGCCATACATAGTGATGCCATACAGACCCTCACTTTGTTTCACGACCTCTCTCTCTCTCTCTCTCTCAAACCATTGCACAAATGCCTGAAATCTAATTTTGACTAGTTGACAATGAGGGTGACAGATTGAACATTGTGCTATTCTCAAGTATAAATGAAAGGTAGATTACAATGAATTTCAGCCTCGGATTAACGCTTGTCCATGACAATTTTAGAGGGCAAAATAATGGTTCGGGTAAATGACTCCAACAGTACTTCAACTTTAATCAGTGATCCTATTTTGATCTTTAACATTTAGAACTGTGTATTAGGTCCCTTATTATTCATGTTCAATTAATCTTTGTCTTCGTATATATCACTTTCAGTTATGGCTTCAGGCTGAATAATAATAATAATAACAATATATTAAAGTTAACAAAATTCTATAATTATAAGGCAAATATTAGGTTTGCTATATTTTCTTAAAGTGAAAATTTTCATTTCTTTTAGTTTGCATAATTTATTGGAAGGATAATACTGTTGTTTTTGGTTAGTCGACTCAGTCAATCATTAGAATGTTTTTGCTAAGGAGGACACTCTGTGGGCAAGACGAGTGCACAGTGCTTTCAGTGTCCTCAAACTAATTCATTTTAAAAAATAATAATTCATTTAAACCAATTTAATCCTCAAACTAATTTTTCACCTTCAATCGTAGGTATGAACTCCATTTCCCTTGGGAATGTGTTATTTTTATAAATTTAGTCCCGTATGAAAATTATGCTCAACCTCATGAAATGTGTAAAATGTAGCGTAATATTTCCCCCAATAAATAATTCCTTGAACTTGAGCAATTATCCAAGTGTCCTTGGAATTCAGGCATTGAATTGATTGTAGGACACTGACACATGCCCAAGTTTAGTTTTCCCACTAAAAAACGCACAACAATTTTTACATGTACATTATAGCAAACAGAAGAGAAACTCACTGATAAGTGACTAATTTACGTAATAATTGTATGACATTTTATATTATTTTTAGTCACTTTGATTATATTATTGGAAGAATATGAATCATTTTGGCTATAATTGGTGAAAAATGCTTTTAAGTGATTAAATGAGGTTTTTATCACTTTTTACTTGGATTTTGTGTATTTTGACAGTTTTGACACATTTTCGTATTTCGGCTATAACTTGAGTTACAATGATCGGATTGGGATGATTCTTGAACCCATTTGAAGATAAGAGATAGATCTACAACTTTGGTGAAGACATCCGAATCCAGTTTGAAGGTTTTCAAAATCAAAAAGCTGAATTACATTAGCTAATTTCTGTTGGTCAAAGCTGAAACAGGGCAATGAGCAGACAAGGGTATTTCAGTCATATCTCAGCCTACACAGATCCAAATGAGGTGATTCTTGATGCATTGGAACGATAACTCAAAAGGCTACAACTTTCGTGTTTTACACATGAGCTGGTTCAGCCTCTAACATCAAGAAAAGATCGGTTGAAGTTGGGCCAAAAACAGAGCAAGTGATCCACACTCGGATCCACTATTCATCCGAACCCTCGGCTGTTTCTGGGTTAGTGGATCCGAGCTCGGATCCATACGGATCCGAGGCACTGTAGAAGCTCGGATCACTGGTCAGAAAAGGCTGCTTTATACGCGTAAAACTCAATTTCACCTCCACCAACTCACATGTGATGCTAGACATGTGAGAGACATTACCAGCTGTAAGGAGAAAGTGTAAAGCTTCATTTCTTGACCACCTTTCATCATTAAATAGCCAAATTCATTGCAAAATGAAAAAAAGGGGATGATAGAGTAAGAGATAGAGAGACATACGGGAGAAGCTTGGAGTCTGCAGAAATGTAGCTCTTTCATCTTCCTAGTATTAGTTTAGCTTAGTATAGAGTAGTATAGTTCAACCATTCTTGTTTATTATCTAGATTAGGATGAAGATGGAGGATGAAGAAGGCAAGGAAGAAAGCTCATGTGACAAGGGTTGTATTCCTTCCAAACTCTTTATCTTTTGTATTTGATTCCAAGTTTAGTTAATATACAAGTTCTGGATTTCGTGTGTAATATGTGTTTTTAAAGTTTAAGCCTTGGGTTTGGTTGAACTTTCTATGATTGTTAGTGTTTATTATTTGGTTATTTGATTGCTATGATTTGAGCAAGTTATTTAGCACTTTGGCTTCTTAAATCATGATTAATCTGGTACCATTAATTGTGATTATCTAAGATGTTGTTTCTGCAATGAAAATTGAGATTTAACACTAGTTCAAGAAGTGCTAAACATAGGGAGTACACTCACGAAAGTAGAGGTGCACTTATGTGGTTTTTAGTGATTCATTTCATGTAATTTCATTGAAGAAATGAACTTGTAGCTAATTTCATAACCATGAAAATAGGTATGGATTAGTTATGAGTATAGTTGATTCACTACGAAAGTAGGTTTCACATGTTTAAGGAAATTACACCATAACTAGCCTAAATGTAGTATTCAATGATCCAAATGTAGCACTTGCATGAGTAGTTAGGGATACCACAACCTAAGGAGCTTTTATTTGTTATTTTGTATAATTTCAGTAGGTTAAATTTCTTATAATTCATTGATAGTCTAAATAATAGAGAAGCTTTAGTAATACCGGTAATTGTTTACTCTTCCCTGTGGGATCGACCCGATATATACCCTAAACTACTAGTTGACCTGTATACTTGCAGTGAACGGGTGTAATTCGGTTTTTTAACTTGTACGTATGTAAAATACCCGTCAGTCACCGTCAAAATGTGAAAAAAAATTAAATTTTGAAACTTTATTCTAATAATTATTACCATAACAATAAATTCCAAAAAAAAAAAAGAAAGAAAATTCCAAAAATGTTCAGCAAAAACTGGACCTTGTGAACGCCAATATCCAACCCATTTTTGAGGGGACGAGTCTAGATGATGTGTCATTGCTAGTTGAGTCTGACGAAGAAAAAGATAAAAAAAAGGGCGCTGGTGACTCAACATCGCAGCTGCAAAAGTAAATGTGGTGGGCACAATTGTCCCACATTGAAAGTGAAAAAATAGTTTGAAGACTAAATTAATTAAAATAAATCATGAAGAATGAAATTGATTTTAGTGAAAAAGTTTGGGGATCAAAATGGTGAAATTCCCTTTTATTTTTTACACCACAATCCTACTTTTTTTCTATTTACACTCCTACCTTACCTCTCCTCCTCCCCCCACCACAATCCTACTTATTTACATCCTATCTAAATTTATTTACACCATGCGGCCACTTATTTAAACCTCAAGAGCTAGCAAGTTGGTTTGGACCGGAACCTATCCAAATATATATCTTTACTTACAAGTTTTTTTTTTCAACAAAAATATTAGAGTTAAACTTTACTTACAAGTTTTTTTCCAAAAACATTAGAGTGCCCCCTTAAGCATGCATCTCTGCTAGTCTTGCTTCCCTAAATTCGACCTCTGGGTCCGCCAATGGCAATGTAGAATTAAAGAAAATTCCATCAAAAATCTATAAGAGATAAATTTCATAAAATCAATGTATATGAGAAAGCAATTTACACACATAAGAGTACGCGTAGGAGAAGAGGATTAATGCTAATAATAATTAGTGTGTTTGGATTGTAAGTTATTTGAGATATTTTTACTGTAGCACTTTTTGTGATGTGATGTATGTGAGATAAAAAGGTAATTGGGAAGATAAAAAGGTGTATTGGAAATTGTAATGGTGATGTAAGCAAATATATTTGGACAAATAACTTACAATCCAAACACACTCAATATATTAATTGCACACTATAATAACAAGCCTATTGAATTTCACATTTTTCAACTGATGACAATAATAAGATTTCCTATTTATAGACTAGATGATTTGGTAAATAAGTTTTGACAACTATAATGAATTACCTAATTATAAAATACCAAATCCTATATATTAAAACTACTATAATTTGACTCTAATAAATTACTAAATACTTACCTTAACTAAAATACTTCTACTAAACTAGAAACGTCTATTTTTAGGTTTGATTTAACATGCCCAACAAGCTATTCACAAATAGTACTTTGATTGAACTTATGGCTACCATTGTTTCTTGTTTAGACTTAAAACCGAAACTTTTCATGTGTTTTAGGTTATTGAACGTTTGATTTTCAAATCCTTCTTTGATATTTCTTATGTTCACAACTAGCCCTTAATAAGAAACTTCAACGTATTTCGTTAATGATTTTCTAAGAAATGAAAATAAAAGGAAAAAAGATAGAGAGAGAGCTAAATAAAAGACAAAAAAAAAAAAAAAAAAAATGGTATAGAGAGCAAATAAGTTGGGTCCTATTCTCATATTTAACTGGGCATCGTTGACCTTAAATCCCATAATTTTCAAATCCATTCCGATCCTCCCAAATTTCCATGGATATCCTATTGAGACTTGGAATTATTTTCCACGGGTAGTTTGATTGGAAAAGAGTAAAAATAGCAGTATCCGACAAATACGAATTAAGCCCTCAATGGACTAAAGTCACTATGCTGTTGAGAGTCATTTTCTGCAATTTATGAGAATCGTTTGACACCCAGAACTTTGACTTGCAGCTAGCCTCGAAACCGCAAATTCCTTCCTAACGACACTGACAGCTTTGACCACTGATTTGCATACTTTGTGCCGACACGAGACACGGAAACAAAATAAAGTGGTTCCGAATAGGCCAAGCAGGTCTATCATTAAGTTCTGTGGGCATGCTAGCTGTGTGGGTAAAATGACTCAATCGTGTCCTGAGTATTGTATGGCGGAAAGCCCATCTTAGCGTTATGGCAGTGCATCAAAGAGCGAGTAGTACATGCTTCAAAAGATGCTCATTCTCTGCAGTGGCAAACGTCTCTTTGACGAAAACATAATATGATTCACTCATTGTTGTTGAGCCAAGTGACAATGAAGTCGATACCTATTAAGGTCTTGTTTTTTCGATTGCTTTAGATTTTATAAAATTTGATTACAGAAATTGATTATAAACAATAATTAGTATCAGTAAAAACTACTATTTGGGTATTATAGATTTTAGCTACCAAATCTATAAGCAGGATATAAAAGCAATAAAAAACGTCACAAAAACTAATTTTTCAACATCATAATCGGTTGCAATAATGAATCAAGAACAACCCCAAGACTTTTATGAATGGAGAAAATGACGTTAGAAGAATCACTTTCAAAAGGGATCCGACTGTTTGATTTTAGATTAGTTAGGATCCAACGTGATTATCAGATTATGGGGGTATTACACAAAAAAAAAAAAGGCATAATGGATTGAGAATGTGGTAAATCATTACAAACTGAAGCTCATCCTTTATTTTTTTTTAAACTAGAGGTGTGATATTTAAGAAACAAAAAGAAAAAGGGTAAATTTTATATATACTGATATTGTATACACAATTACTGTTAAATTCATGATATATGTGCAAAAACTGAATTTCAAATTTCAATTTTACATAATTATCAATCATCCAAAATTGATAATATATACACTATAAAAAATTCATCCAAAGAAAATATTTAGGATATCTAGTTCTTGAATTCCCAATCTTAGTTAATGGATCATGACCTTCTCGACAAATGGATGTTTGTTAGAGCATTCATCACGGTGAAGTCTTTGTGAATGCATTAATGAATGATGGCTAGTAAGACAAGCCGCGGTTTACGCCGTGAAGCAGTAAGTTTTGACTTCTTGCGATGCCAAGAGAGGATAGCATTACAAATGAAATTAGAAGGTCGCAATCGCATTTGAGACAACAAAAGGCTTCATATGCTGTTTGTCAAGAAAATTGGCTTGGGATGTTCACATTGTAAGTTTTCAATTTTATATTTCTTTTTTATTCTATTTTATCAAAAAAAAAAAAAAAACCAATGAAGTAGAACGTACATATGTTTCCCGGCAAAAGCTCTGTCAAATTCAACATTAACCAAAAGAACTTGAGGAGTACTTTTATTAGGTGTTGGAATGTATAACACTCACACACACATATATATGTTTCTGATGCGCACTGGTTATGTGGCACTGTATATAACTAGTTTTCCCAAATGCCAAATTTGATAATTTTGACACCAAATAATGACTTGAGTTCCTACACCTTCTTCATGAAAAATATTGCTTCATTTTACTCCATATTTGAGTACACCGTATTTGACGGTTACGTATGACCAGTTTGCCTTGCAATTGAACCATATATGTTGAACTAGGAAAAAGTGATGATGTGAGATAAGGGAAAGAGCCATTGTTTTGAAAATCGGACCGGTCGACTGGCTGGTTCGACCGAATGACCGTGAACCGGTCATAATTTCTGTACGGTTCATACTTTGGATTGATTGAAGTTAAAAACTGGTAAGAACCGTTTGAACTGGATTGAGCCGTTGAACCGATGGTTTTTTGTTTTTGTCTATTATATATATATATATATATATATATATATATATATATATATATATATATATATATATATAAGAATAGGTTTTTCTTAACCCTAAAGACTAATTATTAAATATCACATTCACTCACTTTCTTCTCATTTTTTGCCTTTTATCAAGTTTGCATCTCTATGTTCTATTTTCCTGACTTCCTCCAAATTCTAAACTTATTTTTTTTAAGTTACAATCTCTAAATCTCAAAAACATAAATTAAAAATTTAAACTCATAATGTCTAATTCCCATGGACGTGAATTTTGTATAATTTTAGAATATTGTGGTATTTTTGGGTTGGCTTTAAGATTAATTTTTGGTAGATACAATTGAAATTGAGATGAAATTCATTTGTTGCAACTTATAATTTAACATTTTTATTTGTGAAAATCCAAATTCTTTGAAAATATAAAAATTTTAATCATATAAAATCTTAAATTAGTCCATTGTATGTCTTATTTTGTACATGTATATTTATATAAATTATTTTTAAAAAATTCATTGAACCAATATTGAATTGGTCTGACCGGTTGAACCTCTATCCGAAAACCTCTCCGGTTCAATTAAGGTTCCAAGTTTTAAAACATTGGAAAGAACTTAGACTACAAATGATGCAATAGAGCCAAACTTGGAACTCATATTTAGGGAAAATTCTATGATTCCTTTAGGGAATTATTCCTTCAATTTGAATATCTCAAGAATGAAAATTAGCTATATTTTGAATTATTTAAATTGTTGCAATCTAAAAGTCAAAATTACTTATTTCATTATCCAAAGATATATTTAACTTGAGGTCAATATGAAATCTAAACGGAATTCTAAAATCTCCCCTATTTAGAAGTATTTAATGTATGGGCAAAACTTAAAGAATAAAAAGAATACACAATTAGTTATATTCTTATAAAAAATTATTACTTTTAACTTGGTTTGTGAAACTTTATAGGTTCCTATTGTGTACAGAACCAAATCCTTTTGGTAGTAGAAAACTTCCATACAATCTTGATTACATTTGAATCAATGGATTGTTGCAATTAAAATGAGGGCACAACATATCACTAAAGTTTTTTGCTTGGTATTTAAGTTAAAGATTAGATGGTACGGTTTTTACACATTTTATCAATGTTTATCAACAGTTATGGACCTGTAATATATGCTTTTGAAGGCAATTCAAGATCAGACCGCAAGTTGGGCCCTATTTTTAAAAGTGCTTTATAGGTTTAGAAGATTTTACTTCCTTTACTTACATGGATATGGTCATGTCCTGCTTAGAATTCTAATGCGTTTTTACTATTTTTTGGAGGCTGAATAGTGCTAATCTTTGTGTCTTCTTTTTCAAAAGATTCTTCCTTGCGAATTAGCTTTGGAAATATGCACACAAGTAATTAATTTTCAGGATTATACTTCAATTTCGGTGAATAGAATTAGATCAAGAGCACGGCTTAACTAGAAGCAAAAGGAAAACCAATAAAAGGCAACACTAAATTAATTATGACAAAAGAAAATTTAAGTCCTCGTTATCAATCTTACATTTGAGATAAAAAATGGTATTCGTCCATTCTATACCTTACAGGCGTTTAGCAAACATAACAAAACATATTTTTGTAATGCAAAACGTAACATAATTAAATAGCCTTCCAATCATACCTCTCTTGGAACTATTGCAAAGTTTTGCATGTTCTTCCTTGTTTCTTTTCTTCTTCTTCCAAAAAAAAAGTTTGACAATTTAATCAATTTGTAATAATCATAATCGATCGAAGTAATCAGCAGAGTCCAAATTGTCAACAATTCTTGGACATGAACATTATCCTCTCCATAGTTCTCGAAGTCTGTGTCTTTAAACACATGTAGAAATTAGAATAAACGCTTTTAGGTACATCTTTCTATTTCATAACTTTCACTAAAGGGAATGTAATTTATGATCATATGGACTTTCTACCAAGTGCAAACAATCATCTCTTCATCGCCCAACGACCTGGTGGGCCGACTCCCCGACCCTTTTGACAGAAGTGTGGCAAAGATTTTCCTATAAATAGAGACCAATCTATACCAGCCTTCTCATCCTTCCAAAAACCAGTTTTTCAATACATAAGTTTTCCCTGAGCAAAAAATGGGTTCAAAGACACTTCTTTTCCTTTTCATTTCCTTGGCTATAGCCTTAATGATTACCTCAGAGGTTGCTGCTAGGGAATTGGCTGAGACTTCCACGTCTGTTGACAATTGTAAGAATTTATTCTCTAGTTCAAATTTTATCATTTTTTCTCTTTCCAAATTTATATGGATCTTAAAATTTTGGACTACACTGTTTAACATTTCAGATAGATTTTGGTTGTGCATGTGAAGCGTCGGAGTAGAAAAAGAAACATAGCTGAGGTGTACATACACCTTAGCATGGTGTACATACAATTGTTAAGCCTTTCCCAACGTGGGACTTGGAGTATAGTGCATAAAACATAAAAATTTTGGATCATTTTCCTGTACTTGTTGTGTCAAAATAAATTTTACACTAGTACTTCTCTATGCATAAAACATACTTTTTATTGAAATTTTAAGATTCTCATTTTGAATATAGCGTTAAATAATCTTTATACTCATAATAAAATAAAGATTAATTCTCAGAAACTATGATTCACTATGGTAAAACTAGCCATTAGTTAGTAGTAATAATCCATTTTAAGGATATCTGTACGATACTAACTTGACACAGATAAATGTTCAAATGATTACGATGTTTCCTGATATGCTACCTAAAAGCGTGTGAACAATTCGATCCAAACCTTACATTTCAGAATTGCGATTACGGTAACTAACGCCTACCCCGTATTTATCTTCTTTGCAGCTAATGCAGTTGAGACTGATGGCTACGGAGGGTACCGTGGAGGAGGATATGGAGGGTACCGCGGTGGTGGATATGGGGGCTATCCAGGAGGAGGTTATGGAGGATATCATGGGGGTGGATATGGAGGGTACCCGGGTGGTGGCTATGGCGGCCGTGGTGGTTATGGAGGATATCACGGGGGTGGATATGGAGGACGTGGTGGCGGCTATGGAGGACGTGGTGGTGGCGGCCATGGTGGACATCCTGATGGGGCTGTTGATGCAGAGACTGAGAACTAATAAAGCCAGCATCTAGCTAGGTCGTGATTACTCATCAATGCTTAAACAGGCTCAGTAGTTTGTAGTGTCAAATAGAAATAACAGCTTGACGAGTGATCATGCAATATGGACTCTATGTATTTGCAAGCTAGTTCAATATTTCGAGTATGTGTGTGTGTAACTGTGTGTCTCTTGTATGAGCGCTTCTGATGTGATGGCAAAATATTCTCATGCATTATGAAGCAGGTTTACTTATGTTTCACTAAAAAGTTGAGTTATGTTTACTTATGAGATTATTTTGAAAACCTTTTTAGAATGATACTATACCACGTTTTGTAATGTAATTTACATTGAATAAGCTGATAACAAATCATTAGAAAAGTAAATAATTGAAAACAGGTTATCCAAATTAGCAAGTATTTCAAACTAACAACGAAGTCATGGATACTTTTTGTTGGATTATTTGTACATCAATTAAACATTAGATTGATACTTTTTTAGGGGTTTACTTGATTAACCAATCTAATACAAAAAATTTTCAATAACACATATGACGAATTCAATCTTCTATCCAAACCAAATATTTGATCGGATCTACCTATACAGAAAATGATGTGAATAGTATGCAAGAGATTTTGTTTACTTAGTTTCATGACCAGGGTCATCTCTAATCCAATTGGTAGTGACTAGAGGGGCCCAAATTCTTTACTCTTTATTGATTAGTACAAAGATTTTTTGGCTAATTGATGTGGGATTGTTTTTGTTTAACAATTGTATGACCAAAATTTGAGAAAATCTTCTTACTATGGTCTTGGAAGTGATGTTTTTAAATAGAGATTCGATCATAAAAATTGCATCTCAAAAACTCGGTCAAATCCTATCGAAATCGGGTTTGAGCGGAAACAGGTGAAAACGGACAAAACCTGATTTTTTCCATTCTCATATTGTGATGACTTTTTTCCCCCTTATCTTCCTTCGATATTTGGCTAGCAGCAAAGAACTAATCTAAAATCAAATTATAAATCCAGATTGCAAGAAAAATTCCATAAGCTAAATTCTTTAAACCCATTTCTCATGCAACTAATTTCTTGAAAATTTGCAATCAAATTAGAGAAAGAAGGGAAAAAAAAGAGCAAAAAAGGGAAGAGAAAAGAGAGCTTTCATGCGAGTTTATTGTGTGATGAAAGAAAAGAGAGAGCTATGGTGTAATCTAGAGAAAGAAGAAGACAAAAAAAAAAAAAAGCAAAGCAAGTGATGGCCTCTTTCTCCAGCAACTTCTCTTCACCTGTTGCTTGCTTTTATCCCTTCTCTACCATTCTTCACAGCACCATCTGGATCATCCTCCTCCTTATTCCTCGGCTGTTTCTCGTCGTGGTTTCTTTATCAAAAGCCATGAATCAAAATTACTAATAAAAACCAAAAGCCTTTGTTCAGAGAACAAGAAATTGATGTATAAATTGTACTACAGTAAGTGACGCCCGCAGCAAAGAAAACAGCAAGTAGGAATTAGGTTTGACATTCATTTTCTGTGGAAACCCTAAAACTTTTTATAGTTGTGTTTTGACCCTTATAGTTTTAGCAAAGTGTAAAACTAACTCATCACATTTTCCAAATTACATTTCTGCTTATAGCTTTCAAAATTATTTAACCAGAATCCTTTTGAACTAAATCTAAACTCATCAAATAACTATGTAAATTTGTAAACCACTAATTTAAAGGAAACTTTTATATATTATCTGAATTATATATCATTAATATATATTCATGACGTATTTATAATATCATCCGATTTGACTCTTGAATTAAACTATTGAACCTAACCACCGATTTCAATTGAGTCGCTTTTTGTTCTGAGTTTCAAAACATAGCTTGGAAGTTCTAGCCAAATCCAAGAATGATCCTAATCTCATCCTTTGGAAGTGATTTTTTATGTGTTACTCCATCCATTGCACAGTGGTTACTATCACTAAAAATTGCAGATGCCGCCGAGTCCTCTTGAGTATAAAGTTTTCAAGGAAATCAAAGTAATAGTGGATGGTGTCCAGGAGATAATATACTTTAGATCTGGAATAAGAATCGACTGCACAAGTCTTTGACAAATAAAACAGTATAACCTTGACTTAACTGACCAAAAGTTCAATACTTTTTTTTTTTTTTCAACAAACGATATCATATTATAGATATTAACACTTGACCTTACAAGGATTAGTTATAAAAAGGGGATAGTACCCTCATCTCTGTCCTAGCTAATTCAGTCAGCCATATTGGGAAATCATTCTCCAAAAGTTCAATACTTGATGGCGTCCATTTTAGTCCAAGGCGACATCCCAAAAATGGTATACGTTACGGGTTTTTGCAAGCAAGCTTGCACTAAAACTTGCAACCCCATTTTAGGTTGTTACTTGGGCCTAATACCTGGACCTTCCTTCCTCACAACTGGACTTGCCGAGCCTATGTCTCTTGGTCTTGTAAAAAATTTGAAATCATTTAGAAAATGTTTCTTCAAACCAAGCCTCCCATTAATTGTCATAATATATGAGTCTACCTAAAAAATTCATACGGGTGCGTTGTACATCTGTTTGATCTGGTGGTCAATCCCTTTCGAATTATCCTTGGATTTCTTCCTGTCCCTCCTCCCCCTTGTATAGAATAGTGTAGGTTTATCGTATCCGAAAAAAAAATTTAGAAAATGTTCCTTTTTTTATTGTTTTTCAAATAAAAAATTATTTTGCAAATTTTTTTTTGGTAACTTGATGAACCATATAACACAGTGCCGGGTGGCAACTCGTAACTTTTACTAATAACTCTTTCTTCTAGACTATTTTTTTGTCTCTCCAAATCACTGCATTTTTAGAGCCCCGTATTCGGCCTTATGTTTTTCAAACCAAAACCATTTCCAAAGCCTTTCTTTTATTTTTGTTCATTCTAGAAACTATACTTTGTTATTTTTTTACATTAGAAAAGGGGCACAACAGTGCGCTTTGACACTATTGGTACCAGGGAGAGTTTTGCTCATCGAGTACATACTTGTACAGAAGCCTAAACTGCGTTGGCACAATTTATTTGGTTCTTAGTTCTGCCCTGATTTAGAGTTTTAACTTAATTGGGCATTTCTATATTCAGAAACTGCATAAAATGAAGTAAATTATATCATATTAGAGACATGAACAATTCGCCTTCTTTTACTGTGAAACTAAAATAGGTACTATGGAAGTATCAATTACTGGGGAAAAATTGACTGAATGCAAAAGTAAAAAGATTGAGCGTGATTCTTTTTTTTTTTTTTTTTGCCGAAACGTTATGTGATTTCATAGATAATAAACCTTTACAGATTCAAGTAAAGACTTGAGAGAACTTTACAACCAGTGTACCCTAACACTGAGGAATCCAAAATTCCTGATCTTCGATGAATTCTAGCGCTTGCACGCTAATCCAGTGACTAATATGGTTAATATTCCTATTTACTAAACAAAATGAGCACATGCGAAACAAGGACTTAAGGCTATATATATCCTCCATCAGAGTTGCCATTCGCATTTCCTGAGATTTCCTTTGCTGGATGAGATTGTATGTTAGCTTGTTTTGGATTTGCGCTTCAATCCTTTCCATTTTTTGAAGAGCAGCTTTACACATCAGTAGTTTGATGGCTGTTAGTTTGTCCATGACCTGGTGACTAGAGGTTCTTTCCTGTAAAGTCCATCCTCGTATCATGTTGTGATTGTCCATGGAGACAATGACGCCTATCCCAACTTGAGGAGTGTCTTTACTCTTTTCTGTTGCAAACCTTAATCTCATGATGCCTTCAATTTCTTCCTGATACTGGGGGGATTCCGTCTTCTCTCTTGTTTCTTCTGTGCTCGTGCTTGAGGTCTTTGTCAATGTTTCTTCATATTCCAGCCATTCCTCATGAGCTGTCTGTATTGTTCTCATAGGGGGATGCTGCTTGACATTGAATTCCTTCTCATTTATTCTTTTCCAGATTTGCTAGAGGATGTTAGCTGTTAGGGAGATATGTTTGCTACCCTCACTTCTAGTGCTAGCTTCCATCATTGTAGTCCACCACCTACTGAAACAGCCATGCTGGTCTAGTATTCCTTCCCACTGAATAGGTGACATTTTCCACACTAGTTTGACATGGTTGCAGTTAAGCAAAGCATGCTCTATCGTCTCACCTTGCTCACCATAGATTCTGCATATTGGATCACCTTGTTTGGTTATAGCGTAGATGAGTTGTCTTACTGGTGACACCTGGTTCAGGCATTTCCTCAAGAAAATCTTCACCTTATGCTTGATGTTCAGTTTCCAAAGATGCTTCCAGCTTTTCTTGCTATTCGAACTCCAGCTTGCACCAGTTATCTCCATAGCATCCTGCTCTCGTTCCATCTGGCATTCAAATTGTATTCTATAAGTTGATCTCACTGTGTAATTCCCATTTGAACTATGAATCCAGTAGTTGCTATCCTCTCTATTGGCCAGGCTTATGGGGATGCTTAGTATACACTCTGCCTCCTTGGAGCAAAAGTTTCTGAATACCATATTTTTATTCCATCTGTTCTGGATGATCAGCTCCTCTACCTTAACCAGATTACATCCCTGTGGTTTCTGTGTGGTAACCTTTCCTTGATGGTTATCTGGCAGACAGCTATCCTCCCAAATATAGGTGCTCTTTCCATTGCCTATCCTTCTCCTGGTTCCTTGCTCTATCAGTTGTCTTGCTTCCATCAGACCCTTCCAAATCCAGGATGCGTTCCCAGCTACTTTGCACTTGAGAAGCGATTCTTTGGGATGGTATTTGTCCTTGAGCACTTTGCTAACCAGCAGATTTGGTTGTGTGAGTAGCCTCTATACTTGCTTTCCTAATACAGCTGTGTTGAATGCCTCTAAATCTAGAAATCCCAATCCTCCATCCTTCTTGTCCATTGACATTTTACCCCAAGATCTCCAATGCATCTTGTTCCTTCCATTTGCCTCTCCCCACCAATAGTTTGCCATTACAGCATTAATCTCTTTGCATTTCTTCTTTGGCATCTTGAAGCATGACATCGTGTATGTTGGCATTGCCATTGCTACTGATTTGAGCCTAACCTCTTTACCTGCTGCACTTAACAGCTTATTTTTCCACTTCTTCAGTCTCTGCTGGATGTTGTCTTTAATGTAGCCAAATAGTTGCTGTTTCGATCTTGTGATCACCATTGGGAGTCCCAAATACCTGCCTTGGTTGACCTTCTGAATATTTCCATGTGCTTGACTAACTTCCATCTTGGCTTCCTGCTCCAAATACCTGCCTTGATTGAGCGTGATTCGATTGACACGAATTCAACTCTAAGACTTAGTTTGTATTGTTGAAAGTCATTCTCTGGGGGTGGATATCGAGGGTACCCTAGTGGTGGTTATGCAGAACATGGCTGTGGTAGCCGTGGTGGTTACAGTGAATATTTTTTTTGGTCACAATAATAATATTTTAATAACCTAATCTATCATATTCTATAAGGATATTATCGCTTTGGTTGTTGTCTGGCTGCAGTTATTATGGCAGAGGTCAGGCAGTCGATATAAAGCCTCTGAATTAATAAACCTGCCTCTAGTCTAGGCTACAATCAATACTATGCTTGGCTCAATGTAGTAGGGCTTGTTTGGAAGGTGAGTTTTTGGGTGCTTGTCTAAAATTTTACTATAGAGTTACTGTAGAAGTTGTAAGAAAAATTTTTAGGATGAAAAACTTTCTTCTTTCTTTTTCTCTTTCTTTCTTTCTTTCTTCTTTTCTTTCCTCTCCTTTTCCCCTCCCCCGGCACCTTTGCCTCTGACCAGCAAAAACCAGCAGCCATGGAAATTTTTTTCCCTCTTTTTTCTCTCCCCCTCTTCTCCCTCTCCCTCTCTCCCTCTCTCCCTCTCCTCCCCCATCCTCGTCGCCGTCAGCAGCCATGAGAACTTGCAGCCATGGATTTTTTCTTTTGCTTTTTCTCTCCCCACTCTTCTCCCCCTTTCCCGCCACCCAGCTCAGATCTGGTCGCTCGACTCATGCCATGGGAAAATTTTCTGGCCCTTTCTCTTACCCTCCTTCCTCTCCTTCTCTCCCTCTCCTCTCCCCTCCCCCTCGTACTCCGATGCCAGAGGAAGATGATCGCAATGAATTTTTATTTTTTTTTCTGACCCTCTCCCTCACCCCTTCTTCCCCTCTCCCTCCCCCGCCACCCTCCCCCTCCCTTAGCTGCGACCTGCGACCAGACCGCAAAGGGGGAAGGGGAGGGTGGCGGGGGAGGGAGAGGGGAAGAGGGGAGGGGAGGAGAGGGGGTGTGGGAGAGGGTCAGAAAAATTTTTTTTTTTGAGGTGACCGGCGCCGGGAGAGGTGGTGGAGGTGGTAGTTGAAGTGGTGGGTTGGTTAAAATTTTTTTGTGTATTAGATTTTTTGTTCAAAATATTTTTTAGGTATTAAATTTTTGAGGTGTGTAGGTTAAAAACTTTGATAAGTTTTTGGAGTTCCTGTAGCAAAAGTTGTTAAAAAACTAGTATTATACAAACTTTCTAAAAACTTGCGGGTCCAAACAAGCTTGTAATAGTTGTAAACAACTCCTTACACCCTCCCTTCTTTTCCGAAGTATAAAGGCCAAAGAGGATAGAAAAAAAAAAGAAATATGAAAAGGATAGAATAACACTTGGCATTAGAAAGTCATTTCATGTTAGTCCGGTCGAAACTTACTCTCTTTAGTCTTGACGAGTAGAATTATATGAAATCACGAGTGCTTAAATTGATGTTTACAATTGAAACTCTTATATATAAAATGAAAATGATAGGAATTTGAGAGAAGACTATCTTAAATTTAAAAACATTGAAGAATTGGCCTGCATTAGTTTTTTTTTTTGTCCATATTTTGGGACATATTTCATAATATAGAAACTAAAGTATCTCATTACGAAGTTCAGGGATCAAAATAAAATTATAGGTATGGTTGAAGGGTAAAAGGTAGAATTAATCTTTTTATTTGGTTCTGAATTCTTCCCTGGTTCAACCTTTAAACTGAATGGCTCTACGAATATGAAGAAACAATACAGATTAAAGTAAAATTTTTGTTGCACACATGTAAGCTTATTCCATTGTTTCTAACATTTTCATCAGTTGCACGATGAAAAACAAAAACAAGTTGCAGAAGCATGGGCAAAAGGATGGACTGCAAGCAGTCCAGTCTTTGGCATTTGACAATTAAGGCTTGAAATTTTTCGGGACCATTAGTCCAAAATTGTGACAATTAAGGCAAGAGGGTTCTTTTTTTTTTTTTTTTTTTTTCAGTTAGTGGTAGTGAGTGCTATTGTTTGATAAAAATTATAGTCCTGAACCGAACATGCTCGGTGTTTTGCCAATATGTAAATGGGATTATTATTTATTTCTGAAATTATACTATTAGCAGAAAGTGGCTAGTGATAACAACATAGCAAAATTCACCAAAAATAACAAATTCAATCTTTTTCAAAAGGAACCCAACCTTTATCTAGTGAAAGACATAAACTCTCACTTTAAAAGTAAGAAAAAGTTCGCTGTAAAGCTACAACAGATGCTCCGGATATATCATTTGAGAAGAAAAATTGATTAGTTACTCTAAAAATTAAAAATAAGTATTATTGGACACATGCTTAGTAAACCTGTAAAAAGTAAAAATAAATATTATTGGACATATGCTAAGTAAACCCCTAATGGACTCGGTCATTCAGTCACCATGTTGTTGAAAGTCATTTTTTCAGAAATGGGGCATCACAAGTTCCATTTCGCATAAGTTGATATAAATTAACAATTTACTTTTAATTTATACCAAATTGCTCTTAGCTTATACTAAATGATAATAATCAACTTATATCAAATTGTACCTAATTTACACCAAATAATAACAAACCAATGTGCATTGAACTGCACCTGATTTACATCAAATCGGACCTGATTTATACTGAAATTCTATTGATTTACGTCAAAGTTCAAATTGTGCAAGATTGTGAGGCCTTGAATCCAGTTTTTCTACCATTAATATTGAGCGACCAACCGATTCAGTTCTTTGTACGATAGTACCGAGAGCGTTGATCTGAAATTATGGTCCGTGCATGTTTGCAGAGTTTAATGATTAATCCTTCAGTATATATGAATAAACATAGTGTCCCAACTCCTAACTCCGCCATGATAGAAATATTATCAGGACTTGTACTTCAAATTCTAGAACTAAATTAGATAACATAACAAACCGTCCACAAATTAGCATTTAACTATTGAATTGGTCAAAAGACAAGACATAATGCGGCACTAATTTATGCCACAAGCAATTTAAATTACACATTCTTCCAATCTTATAGTTTGCAATATCATATGGTATTTTGTTTCTAAAAACGAGAAGTTTTAACATATTTTACAAGATATTGCTTTTGTAATGCAAATGTCACTTAATTCAACTGCCTACTAGGCATACTTTTATATATATATATATATATATATATATAACCGTTCACGAATTGCAAAGTTGACCTTTTCTTTTATGTGAATTTTCTTTCTCAACAATATGATTGAGATATTATTCAACTCGGAATAATGGGATCAAAGTCACTCCTACGTCCAAATTGATTGACAATAATACTTGAACCTTATCCTCTCCATTATGGTCAACTTCTATCTCTTGGCACATATCCTCCTTTTTTCCATTTTTAATTTCTCCACTTGCCGCAGAGGGACTGCAACTTATGATAGCATTGACTTTGTACCAATGATAGTAATCTTTCCTTTAACGCCCAAGTCCCAACCACATCCAGGGCCTACGGCACGACCCATTTGACGGCAATGTCGCATCGATTGTCGTATAAATAGAGGTCAATCTACACAAGCTTTCTCATCCTTCCTAAAACAAATTTTGATTACATAAAATACCTTGAGCAGAAATGAGTTCCAAGAAACTTCTTTTGTCTTGCATTTCGTTGCCTATAGTTCTAATGATCACTTCGCAGGTGGATGCTAGGGAATTGGCTGAAACTTCCACGTCAGTGTCAGTTGACAATTGTAAGAATTTATTCTCCAATTCAAAATCCACCCATTTCTTATCTGTCTAGGTTTCTTTGTAGCATATGTTAATTAAAAACTTTGGACCACAGAATTTAGCATTTCAAGTTATGTATATAATTTTGGTTGCACATGTGAAGTGTCCGAGTACTAAGAAACATAGCTGAAGTGTTCTTTAAGGTTTAGATGCACCTTAGATAAGCTGCACCTTTAAGTGTCAAGCCTTTTCCTGAAGCGGGGCTTGGGGGTGGTAATACACTAATTCTGGTTAATGTGTGTTTTAACAAGTATTATATGATAAAATATAAAATCATACGGGGAAAGGTTTGACACTAAGGGATTATATGGTAAAATATAAAATTATACGGAGTTAGTGTGTCATGTATATTATATTTACATATTTTGATTAATTCAATCATTTTAATTTTTAAATAAGGATAATTTTAAGATTTTCAAAGGTTTCATTACGAATAATCATTTCGATCACTTTGACACTTTAATTCAAATTATGAGGGAATTATGTATAATTTTTCAAACCGTAAGGAGGTTATGTACAAAAATAACAAATTATAGGAGGGTAAAATATAATTTGCCCTTTTCTTTACACTGGTTTAGTAATTCTTATTTTACATGAGTATGAATATACAACATGTAACTTCTAACTAAATTTGAAGCTTTAATTTTTTACATATGACATGTATCCAATCATATTGCTATAGAATTTCCCAATATCGATAGTGCATAAACGATTAATTAGAAAGAACCATGTTCACTATGATAAAATTATCTATCAATTGGTAGTGATGACCATGTTCAGGGAGTTTGTGAAAAGAAGGCAATAATTTTGCCACATACATTAGAAGACAGAATTCCAAATGATTATGATACTTAATTGATATCATATGCGTTGACCAAAAGCATGAACACAAATCTGTCGAAAGTTTACTATTTGAAATTGTGACTGAAGTAATTAATGCGCGTGCCATATTTATGCTCATTGCAGCCAAGACAGAAGAAGCAAAGTACCCAGGTCAGTGTTTTGAAAACCGGACCGGACCGGCCGGTTCGACCGGTTGAACCGGCCATGACTCCGGTCTGGTTCACTGTCAGGTTTGACTTTGTCAAGAAACCGGTCAAAAACCGGTCGGGCCGCGAAACCGCTGAACCGGATTTGAACCGGTTATTTCCGGTTTTTGAGTTTTCCTTTTTTCTTTCTTTCTTTTTTCTTTTTTTTTTGTTTTTGTAAAATGTAGTTATCAAGATTCGAACTCAAGACCTTTGAAATAGAAGACCAATGTAGTAACCATTGCACTATCACATCTTATTAGTTTTTTTTGATAACTTATTTATATAAAACAAACACTCATATTTCTTTTGTTCCATTTTTTTTACAAAATATTATCCTTTCATGACTCTTTCTTTTTAATCTTCAACACACACACACACACACACACACACTCTCTCTCTCTCTCTATCATCTTTTCTTTTGCCACTCATTTTTTAATCAAATCTCTTTATTTTTAATTTATTGATGTTTTCTTCCATATTTTAATTTTGTTTTTGTCCATTAAATTTTAAAAAGTTAAAAAAGAATTATTTTTCTTTAACCCAATTTATTTAATACCACAACCACTCACTTTTATCTCATTTTTTGTTTCTTATCAAATTTGCATTTCTATTTTCAATTCTCTTGATTTTCTTCGAACTCCAAACTTCCTTTTTTAAATTATAAATTTAAATTCCAAAATGTAAATTAAAATTTAAATTCACAATGTCTAAATTTTCATAGACGTGAATTTTGTATAATTTCAAATATTGTGATATTTTTGGATTATATTTAAGATTTTTTTGGTAGATATAATTGAAATTGAGATGAAATTTATTTGTTTTAACTTATAATTTAAAAAATTTATTTTTAAAAATCCAAGTTATTCAAAAATAGTAAACTTTTCATCATATAAAGTATTAAATTATCCATTACATGTCTTATTTTGTGCACATATATATTTATATAAATTATTTTTTAAAAAATTCATTGAACCGAGGTTGAACCGGTCCGACCGGTTGAACCGAGACCCTTTCACTTCACCGGTTCGATTAACGGTCCGGTTTTTAAAACATTGCCCAGGTGGCTATGGTGGGTACCCCGGAGGAGGATATGGTGGTTATCCCGGAGGGGGGTATGGAGGGTATCCTGGAGGAGGTTATGGGGGGTACCCAGGTGGTGGATATGGGGGGTATCCAGGAGGAAGGTATGGTGGATATCCTGGGGGCGGCCGTGGTGGTTATGGTGGAAATTGTCGCTTTGGTTGTTGCGGCCGAAACTATTATGGCGGGGGTTGCAGGTGCTGCTACTATCCTGGTCAGGCTGTGGATGCTGAGCCTCAGAACTAATAAAGCCAGCTTCTAGCAAGCTCATGAATGCTTAAGCAAGCTCATTGGTGGTATATAGCAGTACTTAGCAGTATGAAGTGCAGATAAGAGCTTGATTATTGATCATGTAATATGACTCCATGTATTTGTTGGGTAGTTAAATATTTCAAGTATGCGAGTGTATTTGTGTCTCGTTTTGAGCACTTTTGTCGTGATGACAAAATATTTCATGGGATATGTCTTCAATTCAGTCATTCTCCACTAAAAATTGGGTAAGGTTAGTATTTCAAATTAGAAAAAATCGAGGCTTATTTTGGTCACTTTTTCTGTAATTCTAGGACTTTTTTTTTTTTTTTAAGTATACTTCGTTTTTAATCTAACATAAATGTTTGAGATAGCAAATTTGGCAAGTGCAATCCTTCCTTTTGGATTATATTTTTGACTAATCATAGATAACAAAAAGAAAAAGAAAAAACATTTTTGACTACTCGTATTCGTGGCAATACTGATTGGACTGCTAGTTCTACTGGTCAGCTTACTGTAAAATTGAGTGGTACCAGTTGGGAGCTGCAATTCATGGCAACATTAGCAGTGCAAATCAAATTTTGGGATGATATTATATGAACAAAACCTTTAACTGATTGCCAATTCAACACGCTAAATGATCTCGAAGAACATAGTGTAGGTGTTTACTTGAAATTTGCAGCACCAAAAAGTCTCTCGATCTATTCATAATTGATCATAAACCTTTATTCACCTCTTTTATGCTTTCTGCAATTTCACATGTACTTCAAACATTGAAAGTTCAATAAAATGACTTTTTTTTTTGGGTTAAAAGAAAGACTTCAAGTCTTACGAGGTGAAAGGAAGAAAGAAAACTGAGTGCTTGAATCCCAAATCAAAGGTCTCACGATCATCTAACAAATGTTCCCACCAAGTGAGTCGAGTTTTAAGGGCAAAGTGACAATTTCCTTTACTATTTACTATTTTCCTACATGAGAAGAGTTAAGATAACGTAGATATTGTGAATCTCTTTTTCTTTGGTTTGGTTTACTTTCTAAGCTATTTGATATGTTTTTTTTTTTAATACCTAAAGGATTTGTCAGAAATTATCTTTTATAATTTACGTTTGGGGGTAAAATTATCTTTTGCCACCTAGTTTGAGGGGGTAAACTGAGATTGACATGTAAAATTGCAAATTGTATAATATAATATTCTTTTCTCAGACTAGCCATGTCACATTGGATTTTTTCCGTATACCACCAATTCAGTACTGTGACATAAAGAAAATTTTGTCACCACTACCATAGCTATACTAAAAGAATAATTAATGGGATATCCTAATTACGAAAGTAATTGTACAATTGCACTGCGGGATAAAAATTGCCTTCAAAACTTTTCTCTTTTAATCAAAACTTGGGTTATTAATCAAAACTATTCTCTCCTAACTAACCAATCAAATCAACTCTATTAACCACATTATCTCTCCTCAAAGGAAATGTAATGAATATACTACACCAGCCAGTGCATGGGTTAAAAATGTCATAGTTTCTGGGAGAAGCTTTTCATTTTGAATTCTACAAAATAAAATTTAACTATCTTTATGTTTTGTCATCATTATGATGGCTAATTACTCTAAATATGGTCGAAAAAAAAAACTTCGGACGTCTACCGCTCTGACATGGGTCTGTTGCAAATCTATGGCTGCCGGGCTGTGTAGTCAGTTAAAAATTTTTTTTTCCAGTCTGACACCGCCACCGGGCTGTGTCAGCCAGGCAGCGGAAAAAATCTTTTTTTTTTTTTTTTTAAAGTTGTCTGCTGTTAGCCCGGTAGCCAACAACTTATGCAAAAGAAAGCTGGCTGCCGGGCTGCTGCTGGGCCCTCTCAGCCCGGCAGCCAGTCTAACTTAAAAAAAAAAAAAAAAAATTTGCAGAAGAAATAGGTCCAAAGCCACGTCTGGAGTGAGTATGGATGGAGTCTTCTTTGTGGTCTCTGACCAGCATAAAATAGACCAGCCATATGATTGTATAACAATAGCAAGGAAGTTGAGGGCCATGCTCCAGTCAGCTGAAGGGAGTCTAAACGGAAAGAAGAAGAAAAGTGCATTTCTTATACAATTGGCTGCAAAAGCAGTCACCAGACCTATGCATTGCATTCCGTTGCTTCTCACAACGGACTACTACTTGCATGGTTATCAGGATAAGGACTTCCCAAAGAAAAGCTTGAAGATCCTTCTTTATACCATTATGCTTTTTTTTTTTTTTTTTTTTTTAAGTTAGACTGGCTGCCGGGCTGAGAGTGCCCGGCAGCTTGCTTTTTTTTCCAGGGTGAATTCTTAGTTTATGATGAAAAGAAAAAAGAATTCTACAACGAGGGCGTTTCCTGGAGGGGTTTCTGTAAATGGGGGTCTTCGCATTTTGAGAATGCGAGCTCACTGAGCTCGCATTCCGGGAATGCGAGCTCAGTGATTTGTGTCTGCTTTATTCAGTATGCTGAGTTTCAAATGATTAAGAATGATCCAGGATGGGAGGAGGATTTTGGAGGAGAGGAGGCGAAACACCTTCAGCTGTTAAATGGGAGGAAAGGATCATAGAGATTCGTGAAGGTTCTTGGTCCTACGTTTCTAGTTCGATCGGCAAAGCCCCTGGTATGTGCTTTAATGTAGCTCTTTCTCACTGCTTCCACCTGTTTTGATTCTTCAGTTATGCTGTTTCCTTCTCAACCTCCGTGCTTATTTTACATGCAATTGTCATCTAGTGCAGAGAAAGTTGTAGGCACTGCAACACCTCAAGAACCACCTGAGGAGTGGCAAGCTTCATGGAACATCTCAACAGGAAATGAACTATTAATACGTTGGGCGTCTCCGACATCCAGTTCAGGCTTGAATTTTGTCATAAGAAACAAGGAACCTACTGACAGGATGGTACAGCCCATTTCCGGAATCACTGATTGTCAAAATCACTGATTGTCAAAATCCTTTTTTGTTTTAATACAAAAATATAAATCTCTGCCTCCAAAAAAAAAAAAAGCAAAAAAATTTGCATCTCTGTAATGCGAGCAAATGAGAGCTCGCATTCGTGAAATGCGAGCTCTCCTGAGCTCGCATTTCACGAATGCGAAGACCCCCCCGACAGAATTCCTCGCCACAATCACCCCTTTTCTGAGCTCGCATTTCACGAATGCGAAGACCCCCCCGACAGAATTCCTCGCCACAATCACCCCTTTTGTAGAATTTTTTTAAAATTCATCACAAACTTAGAAATTTCTCTTTTTTTGCAGAAGTTGTTGGCTGCCGGGCCTTGTCAGCCCGGTAGCAAACAACTTTAAAAAAAAAGATTTTTTCCGCTGTCTAGCTGTGTCAGACTGAAAAAAAAAAAATTTTGACTGACTTTTGGTGCCGGGCTGTGTCATAGATTTGCAATAGAACCTTGTCAGAGCTGTAGATGTTCGAATTTTTTTTTTCCGATCATATTCTGAGTAATTAGCCCATTATGATCCAGACCATTAATTCAAAATCTGTGATGGGGTTCTTTTTCTGAGTGGTGGTAAGTGCAATTGTTTGATAAAAATTAAAGTATTGAGCTGAACATGCACGATTTTTGGTGACAAAAGAAGCATAAAGCATTAAAAAGATGGGAACTTCTTAGTGTCAATATGTAAATGCGAATTATTATTGATTTTTGAAATATAGTATTAGAGGAAAGTGGTCAGTGATAATAACATAGCAAAAAAAAAAAAAACTCCAAAAATGACAAAGTCAACCTTTTCAAAATGAACCCAACTTTAACCAGTGAAGAACATAAACTGTCATCGTTTTTTCAAGGTAAAATTGTTTAATTTTGTTGAAATCAAGAATGGAAATTTCTACAAGAGATAGACTCAGATACATAATACAATTCCTATCTATTCACAATGTTCAAGCTACTGAAAGCCGTGGAAAGACTCATTGAATTTTCCGTGCATTGCATGCAGAATTTAATGATTTATCCACTTGGCTGCTGGGCATAATTAACGTGTCCGGAGGCATTAAATGGAAGAAAATTAATCTTATCACAATAGCACATTATAAGCGCAAAAAATGAGTGTAGAAACATACATATAAAGGGCATTTAAAGGTGCATAGGTCCTGGTAAATGTTTCTATTTTGAAAAAACCATAATACATTCATAATTTCTGTTACATTTCTTGAAATAAAATGTTTGTTTTCTGCAGCATCCAACCCCGTGGAGTCTCTGTCAATGCTTTAATGAATGATAGAAGCAAGACATGCAGCGTTTTACGTGCCGAAGCAGGAAGTTTGACTTCTAGCAGAATTGCAACTTGGAACTATTAATTGAATTTGTTTGTCGGAATCGCATTGGACACGTCAAACTAAATTGGCAACTTGGCTTACAAATTGCACATTGTAGGACATTAATTTCTTTTTCTTTTTCTTTTTTTGTTATCAAAGAACAAATATACATACGTTTTTGAGCAAAATGTTAAGTGCCAAAATAGACAAATTTGGCATTGATTGAAAAGTCGAGAAGAACTCGTGAAGGATTTATATTAAGTGCTGAATCGGATAAACTTGTCTTATATTTCTAAGGTCCACTGCTTATGTGACACTCCGAAACTATCTTTGTCAAATGCCAAATTTGACCACTTCAAGAGCAGATAAGGGTTCATGTATTCCTATATCCTCTCCCTAAAAAAATGGCTTCGAATTTTCCTGTATTTGAGGACACTGTCACTTATTTGTCCGGTTAGATATGACAAGTGTGCCTTGGAATTGAACCATGTAGGTTGAGCAAGGAAAAAATGCTATGAGACACGGTATAAGGGGTAGACCTCAATTGCAAATGACACAATAGTACCTAAGTCTGACAGTCTTTTTAGTTTTCTTTTTGGGGTAAAATAAAGATGAATAAAAGTAAATAACATCCCTACAAAGTAATTAGCTTAGTACAGTCATCCCAAGGAGGGTGACTCCGCTCAAGTCATTTAGTAGTTGAAGAGACCAGTTGAATTTCATACATATAGAAAGGTCTTCTACTCTTATGATAGTGAGACAATTGTTCATTTTATTTGATGGTATTTGATCTCAATTTTGGCCACTTGTTATGCAAAGTAATGGGTTTCTGCTCATAATTGGTATTTGTGTCAGTTGCAGGTGATTGGTATCAAAAGTGATGAAAAGAGGTCAATTTCCAGAACACTATTCATTCCAAAGCGTGTGCCTACGCCAGAGGCCGCAGAGTTAAGTCCAAAAAGAAAGACCGCGAGACTTATCCCTGGAAGCTCGTCACTATTTTTGGAAGATATGTTTTGAAG